GTTGTTGTTCGAAAGCAATATTATTAGTATTGAGTCTTTTATTTTTGAAATTACGAAATAAAAATATTACAATTAAAGTTCCATTCATTCAATGTTTATAAAAATAATCGTTTGCTCTCCAATTATTTGTATAAACAAAAATCAACAACAAAAGCCCCTAAATGAAACGATATTCATTTTACAGTCGGTTTTTCTAAGAATTTAGTCGGCTAGTCGGCATTTGACACATTTCAGTCCGTATATTTTTTGTTTTGAGGACTTTTTCAAAGAAGGCAGCCAGCTTTTTTAAAGGTTTCTTATTCCACCTCCCTAAATATTTGATTCTTAAAATTGCTTCTGTTTACAATGAAAACATTTTTAAAAAACGCTAAAACTTTTATGTTAATTTTTAAGTTCCGTTATACAAATTCAAAATTAAAATGTGCTTTAACTAACCATCTTTTTTTTTTAATTTTAAAATAAAAAAATAAGATTTAATATTAATACACATGAATTAATAAAAAAATTTCTTTTCCGAATTAATAAAAAAATTTCTTCTATTCCGAAAATTTCGTCTTTTGACGAAATTTTCGGAATAAACATATTTTTATCGCGTATTTTATTACATACGAAATCCTGGGATAATTTTTAGAATATCCTGGGATATGGATATTTAAAATTACGTTCAACCCTTGCAATGCTTTCATTATCGATTTTTAATTGAGTTTAATATGTTTAACCAATCAATCTAACATATCGATTTTTTTTCGAGTTTTCATTATCGGTTATTCTTTATCGGTTTTTATCGATTATTCTTAACGAGCTTTCATAAGCGATTTTTTATCGAGTTTTAATGTTTAACCAATCAATCTAACATATTGTGATAATTACTAACACTTTTATTAGAAAACGAGTAGAAACTAAAAAGAAATTATAGTAACTAAAATGTCACAAAGTAAAAAAAAAAAAAAAAATAACAGTAGTAATAATAAAATCAATATTATATTGAATAAATTCATTGATTTAAATTGCGTTTTTGTATTAAAGATAATATTTATTAAAATATATGAAACTTTAAAACTTTACACAAATTAAAAGAAAATCAAAAAAGCTATTATTACCATATTTGTCTTAAAATTTAATGAGGAACACGTTTTTAAGTTATTTATTGAATATTTTTATTAGAAAAACTGACTTAAACACCTTTTTTTAATTTACCAGTCAAATTTTCAAGGCATAGCAACGCCCTTAGCAAAAACCTTTTGACTAACTCTTACTTGGTTTTATGGTAAAATAAATTACCAGCTTTTGACAATAATAAACTCTTCAGCTGCATGTTAAGTTAAATTTATTAGTCATACTTTTAAATCACAATTTAGTTCAGTTCATATATTTAGTATTACAATGTGTTTAAAATTTTATAAAAAACGAATGATTCTACAAGTTCTGCCCATTTAAGTATCAAAATTTTATTACAAGGATTCTTTAAGAAAACTGCAACCAACTTGAGAAATTCGCATTTGATTAACGGTAGTTTTGTTATAATATATTTCATTGTTAAATTGCGAATTATTTTGTATCGTTTAACTTTTCATTCAAAACAACTTTAAAATATTTGGTACCTCCACTGAGTGACAAAATAGGGTATGAGGGTGCCAATATTTTTTAATGAATTTTGGCAAGTACATAGAAAATGGTTTTACAAAAATTTAAATGAAAAGTTACAAAAATAAATGAACATGTCTTCAACAAAATTTCACTTCAATAACATAAGCGAAGTTTTCATTACCGATGAAATCATTTAAAATGTTACTACTTGCAAAAATTATACAGAATATAAGGAACTTAAAACACTCTACTTCTGAAATAAAGTCTAAGTTGATATAAATTTCTAAAAGATAGGACGACAAAATTCATTCCCACAACATCTACTTCGAGCACGCTGTTAAAAAGTGGTTGGTAGGCTCTCTTGTCAAACCCCTATTCCGACATTGAGCGTCGTTTGTGTCCGCGAACTCGTATTTCTATGAAATAGGCGAAATGGGGTATATAGGGATTTGCGCACCGGTGCACACATACACCGACTGATTTTTAGAGAGAGCATGCAGCGTAGTGTGTAAACAACGACTGAGGGTTTGGGGTAGGCTGGTTCTCTTTTAAATGAAGAAGTCAATTTTTACATTTTCGGACCTTAAGGACAGCGTTGGAATAAGGGTTTGACACGAGAGCCTACCAAAGTGTTCACCGATTTTAACTTTAAAATCGATGCCGTAGAAACTGGATACGCACGTACCAATATCATGTCTTATTGCTTTTTTTTCAACAAAAACAAGATCACAAAGTATTTTGACAAAAGTTCTTTGCTACTAATGATTACATGGTGGTAGCATTTAAGATTATAGAGTTCATGGAGCTATAAAACCTTTTGCTTTACTATTTGCTATTTTTTTTTGCTACCTTCAAATTTTTTAAAAGCTTACAACAATATTATTAATGCTTTGTATGGTACTTATACAAGGAATAATGATGGTAAATTTGGTCTAAGACCAATAATTTAAAAACTTGGATTGCCACTTTCACAGTTTATGCTTAATGCATTTGTCGAAAGTCATACAGACGGCATAAAGAACATTCATGAATAACCTTGTTCTGGTGTTAAACAAGTTGCTCAAACCAATAAAAAGTTTTATTTTAAAAGTATATAAATCAAATAGTATTTTAAAAAAATGTTCTTAATCATTTTTAAAGAATATTCTTAATTATAACTAAAAATTAGAAGTGTAATGAAAGTGAAATTTTATGATATTGTGGTGATCTAAAAATATAAAAAAAAAAAAAATCTAAAAAAATAACGAAATATTTAGTCACATACTTAGCGCAGAATATTTAGTCACACATTTACCACAGAGTATTACGTGTGTGGCAATAGACAGATAATTATTTTTTTTTTTTGTGTGCCCAAAAAAGTCCTTACGGTCTTATCACAGAGCACCAAGGAAGAGCATTTAATAGGAAAATCACGCTTCCTTTCCAACCGATGTCACAAAACTTGCCCAGGGGTGGGGTTTGAACCACGGATTTTATTATTTGACCTCATAAATTGATAAAAAATAGTTTATATGAAAAAAATATCATTAACTATATATGATAAAATAATGTTATTATTTATACTTATATTAATTGTTTTTAGCATGAGTTTTGTCTTGATATCTTTTTTTAATCTTCTTTTAATTCATCTTAATTCTGTTAACTAAAATTAAACAAAATAAAAAAACACACACACTACAAGCAGAGTCTAGAAATATAGGTTTTGTTAAAATATGTTTTCACAAATAAATGACACTACCCAACCGGCGCAACTCCGTAAAAGTAACGCATGGTTTCTGTTTAAAATCTCTTAAAAAAAAAAAAAAAAAGTTTCAAGAATATAGTTTAAATTTAGTAAAATTAACTATTATTATTTATTATAACAACAATTAGGATATTAGATTTTTATAAATGGTTTCTTATAAATTATTAATAATAAATTTTTACAATTAGGCTTTTTGCAAATAATGAAACCATTTATAAAAAAACGTAGTATAATATTATACTAGTAACTAATGTAGTATTATACAGTAACTAATGTGAAACCAGTCATAAAAGCACATGCATTTTTTATTTAAATTTGAAATTTCCTAAAACACACGTTAAATAAAAATTAAAACTTGTTAACTCAAATGATAATAGCACTAGCTGATGATTCTTGAAGACTGTCACTTCAAATGTATTATTCAGCGTATTTAATTGTTATTTAGTAATTATCCAGTAGTTTGTAAAGAAATATGTTTAAATTGTTGCTTCTATGGGTATCTAATGCGTATAAGAATGCATAGCTACCAGATTTTCGATTACTTAAACTTATAGCAATGACATCGACAGGCTTAACTTAGAAAATACTTCAAGATGTGTTATATTGTGTCCTAAGAATAAAGAAATTAAGAACGTTCAATAAGTAAAATATTGAAAAGATTAATCGAACTGAATACCTTATTGACTAACTCTAAAACAAAATTGGGTTTTTATGATGCTTCGAAATATCAAAATTTTGAATTCTACAAAAAAGTTTTTCATTGGGGCTGTAGCTAATAAAGCTATTAGATAATTTAGTTGTTGCATCAATAATTGGATGATCAAAAGATAGAGAAAAATAAAGGTTTCTTGTTTTATATTAGAACTATCAAATTAATGGCGGGTGTAAAAATTGTAACTGATAAAAAAATTAAAAGTCTTCACAAATAACGAAGTTATGTAAATATTTAGTGATTTTAGTAATTGCATATGTAAAATCTAAAGAATATTGTGTGCAAATACAAATTGTAAACTCGGATTCAAGCAAACAAATGGAAATTGAATGACAATAAGAACTTTAAAAACTTTAGAGACAAAAACCATTAAAGGTTAATGTCCGTGTTCCGGCAATTGCTACAACGATTAGATTACCGGCAAAATGTTTATCACAGGTTCTTAATCCTAATAACTATAAAATTGTAGCAAAGAAGTGCGGAATGTTTCTCATATGATATATGAAAATTTCTCATATGAATTTCTAATATGATTTCTCATTTCATAGTTTGGAAGAATTCATTAGCAAAAGTAAAGATTTCTAGTGAGTGTTTTAAATTTGGTGGATAATGTCAACATTATTTGTACGAGAAAATACAATAAAGGATAATTCATTAGAATAAATGTAATAAAGGTAATAGATATTATGGAATTAATTTTCATTTATTGCCATTAAAACTAGTTATTGCGGCATTAACAGAGCATTTGATTGAGTGTGGTACAAGTTTTGTAGCTACTGATTTCAAAAATATAGTTGATATTATCACATGACAAGGTATTCTTAGGATATATTTTATATTAGGTATCTACTATACGTACTTAATATAAGATAAAACATATAATAATAATACGAGCGTTAATGTATGATTCTTATCCTTTTGCTTTTAGATTTTTATTAAAAATAATAAATTACTTACCAACATCGGTAAAAGCAGGTATTATATTCAAAAAAAGTAAAAGAAACTTTAAATTCATACTTTTTCTTTTTTCTTTTACACAAAATAATAAATTATTTTATGATATAGATTGTGTTACTTTAAATTTTAAACGGAAAATGTCAATTACTTAAAAAATGTATCACTATGGATATGCAATATTCAGTCAATGTTATTAGCAATCTTTAAAAAAGATTTTATATACAACGCACAGAAAGAAATACTCATAATAATCAAAAACAGCAAAAACTCAACAAAATTCGGCAAACTTTGTAAATAAACATATTATGCGTTTAAGTAATAATTTTTTTGGCCTAAGATTTTAAATTTGTAAATAATTTAAATTTAATGTTTACATGCTCGCATCCCAGTGGGCACGCGTCGTCCGTCGGACGTCCGTCAGACGTTTTACAGACGTAGAGACGTCCCTAAGACGTCTCTACGTCTTAGTGGGCATGCGTCGCTCCCGGACGACACATGCCCACTGGGATACTAGTTTACGCGCGCGTTAGGTTTGACTTCACGCGTAAAAAATAGTTTTATTTAAAACTTTAAATCTTTAACCAAAACACAATATTTGAACATATTGCAATAGTTGATATTTGCATAACAATGGTTTTTTAAAGATGTTGATAAGTACTGTATTTAAGATTTTTTATATTTATTTTATTATTTGAATTATAGTCATTAATTGTAATAAGTATAATATTTATAATAATTATAATTTTTAGTAATAAAATGGCAAACAACGTGGTGAATGGATGCATTTTTATGTTTTGGTTTTCTTGTAAAAAATTAGTTTTTAAAATTTTTATTTGTTGTTGTTTTCTTTTTTAACATAAATATATTATAGTTAGTAAGAAAGAAATTTAAATTGCGTATTGCTTTATTAAGTCTAAAAAATAACACATGTCTAGGTAAAGTTAGCATCTATGTTGTAAAACATGTCTTTGATATAATTGTACCTTATAATCTTTATTATTATAATCTTTATTACATATTTTTAATCACTCAAATCAGGCGAAATCCCAGACAAATTAAAAATTGCAAGAATTTTGAAATTTTTTTTTAACTGACCATGCTGTTGTTGAGTTAGTAAAACATATTACTAATAGTTTCAATGATGACACTTTTGCATTTGGGGTTTCATTGTTTTATCTAATTCTTTTGTCATTCTAAATTATTTCTTATCATATAAAAAGCGCGATCACTGCGGAATAAAAAATGTAAATTTACTTTAGTTTATAAAAAAAAACAATACAATTCAAACAGAAAACAATACATTCATCACGAATCAGTAAAAAACCTAAAAGTATAACCAGTAGGGTTTCCTTAAACTCAATTTTAGAACCCTTGCTGTTCCTAATATACATCAATAATTTACATTTTTCATGTAATCTTAAGTTTTATTAAATTAAATGATGACTCCAATTTTTTATTTTTCTTAAAAAAGTCGAAAAAAAACTCGTTTTGGAATGAATCGGTGAATGTTAAAAGGGTGGAAGTTCAACTGCGTAAACTTTCGGAAACTAAAAAAAACTGCTTTTTCCCCCGTAGTAAATTTTTGTTAATGGTTTAATAATTTTTTTTTGAAGTTGATAATGTTTTTCCCCTTCAAAAAAAAACAAAAAAAAAACAATTATTGACAAATTAACAAAAATTTACTACGGGTGTAAATGCAGTTATTTTAGTTTGCCGAAAATTTAAATTTTTGGACTTCCGCCCTTTTAACATTCACCGATTCAAATAGGTTAAACTGACCATTTTATGCCCACTTTGCAGTTATTATTCAAAAACATAAATTCGTATTCCGTAAAATAAACAAACAAATTTAGATTTAAATAAATTACTCAACAATAAATAAAATAATAAAAAATTTTTGTAACAAAATTAAAGTCAACATGTGTTTAAGCATTAATTTTTTAGCTTCTTACCAATTTTCTGGCCAATGCACCGGGTAGATTTAAAATCGTTTTTAAATTACTCAAAAAAAACCTAACGAATTTAAGTAATACAACCGAAAAATCATAATAATAATAAGTTATATTACCAAGAAATTATAAATTTTTTGATAAATACTTAATTTTAGATATCTCTCTTTTTCGCTAATGCACTCTCTTAAGTATTAATATAAGCTGAAACTAAATTAGTTACTGAGGATGAGTTCAAAATTGAATTTGCATTATCAATATTGAAAATTGAAGGATGCTTAGTTGCTAAATGTAGAAATAGAAAAGTTGACTTCTTTTTTAATTGATGGATATGATTCAGTCATTTTTTTATTTCATAAGGCCATAAGATGTTTCTAGTAGATCACTTGAGTTATTCAACGTATTCTTACTGTTTTATTACTTGAGGTAAAAGATTCGCTCCAAGCCTCTATAGCCAGAAAGCTGGCTATAGAGTAGTCTTCAAATCAAATCCAAATTTAAGAACATTACTTACGTCAAAAAATAAAACTAAATTTCCACATAACAGTCAACCCGGAACTTATTTAATTGACTGCAAATGCTCAAAGAAGTACGTACGAAAGTAAGACGAAACTAAACTTCAAATTAAGACTCGAATTCAACAACATCTAAAAAGTTTAAACGAGGAGAAACATTATCAGTCTCCAATAGCCACCAATAATAAGTTTTGCTCACAAGAAATAAGGTGGGAAAACGTAAAAACAATTAAAGTTGAAACAAAAAAATTTGATTGAAAAGTGCGTGAAGCTCTTGAAATACAGAGATTACAATGTTTACCTGTACATGGCGGAATTAATTTAAATAATTTAGTTCGTTAAAACTAAGTTTTAGACTCCGTTTTTTACATTTTTGTGTAAGCAAGAAAGAAGCCATTCAAAAGCTGACGACAGTTAATTTTAAACTGTTTCTTAAACGTCACAAAAAACCGCAGTAATTTAAAAAAAAAAAAAATCTTTTCGTCATACATATGAACGTAAAAAAATTTGGAATATTTTTGTTGTTTATAAGTTGGTCATTTTAAAGATTTAAAGACCTTCCTTCGCCACTGTATATAGTTTTAATAACAAAAAATAAACTTATTAAATGGATAAAAAAAATATTGTTGTTCGAAAGAAATCTAACGAAACGGGGAATATAGATAAAACACAAATTCCAACAAATGTTGTTCGAGATATTTTCCATGAAATGTTTTCAAAACAGCAGAAAGATATCTTTAAGCTTATCAGTGGTAACCTAAAAATAACTAACGATAAAATAAACGAGCTACTTGATGAAATACATAACACCTTCCGGCTCAATAAAACAATTCGAAAAGCACATTAAAAACATAGTTAAAAATAAATTAAGCAAAAATAAAAGCATTTATTTTATAGGTGATTTTAACCTTGACCTGAGCATGACTCATTCAAATACAAACATAAATAATTTCTTTAACGTCATATATCAGAAAAGCTTTATTCCACTAATTAATAAACCCACAAGAATAACTAGAGAAAGCACAACTATCATAGATCAAATAGTCACCAATGAGCTAAAATCAAAAATAAAAACAGGAATATTTAAATACGACATTTCAGATCATTTCCCTGTATTTCTTATTTCACAAAAATGTGATAAAATTTATGCACAAAAAATAAAAAAAAATACGCGATATATAAATAAAAAATCCATGGAAAATTTTAATACTTTTTTATCAGATTTAAATTGGGATGACCTCCATATTGAACACGTGACCTCCTTCATATTGAACACGTGACCTCCTTCATATTGAACACGTGACCTCCTTCATATTGAACACGCAGATAAGGCATGCGATAAGTTTATTGATAAATTACAACAACTTTACAATTCGGCTTTTCCTGTAGTTACAAAATGTGTGAAAAAAAAAAACATTATTAAATCCATGGATAACGCCTGGAATTATAAAGTCGTCGAAAAAAAAGCATTTAATAAAACATAAAAATGATCCAAAAAAAACTTGGGACACAATCAAGGAGGTAATTGGCACGAAACAAAATGACAGAAATAGTCTTCCTATAAAACTAAACATTAAAAATAAAACTATTACAAATAAATCTTTAATTGCTGAAACAATTAATCAATATTTTGTCAGTGTTGGTTCCACTTTAGCGTCGAAAATAGAAACTACTGAAGTAAACTTTAAGTCATATCTTACTCCTAATAAGACCTCTAAGATAGATAATTATGAAACTACTGAAAAGGAACTTTTAGATTCAGTATACTTTTTAAAACTAAACAAAAGTGTGGGGTTTGATAATATTAGTAGTAATGTAATTAAAAAATCGATAAAGTACTTAAGAATGCCTCTTTTACATATTTTTAATCTCTCTTTAAAACAAGGCATTTATACGGAAAAACTAAAAATTGCAAGGGTCATACCTATTTTCAAGTCAGGAGACATATTTAATCCTGAAAATTACAGACTAATATCAATTCTTCTTTGTTTCTCCAAAATCTTAGAGCGAATTATGTATAACCGAATTTTGACTTTTCTAAATATAAATAATATTCTATATAACAAACATTTTGGTTTTCAACTAGGGTATTCAACTGATCATGCCATTATTAATATTGTTTACGATATATTTAAAGCATTTGATGAAAGTAAGTTTACCCTAGGAGTTTTTATAGATCTTAGCAAAGCCTTTGATACAATAGACCATAACATTTTTATAAAAAACGAAAAAACTCGAAAGTTATGATATTAAAAGTACATATTTAGAATGGCTTAAAAGTTATCTAAACAATAGAAAACAATACATAGCACACGAAGAAATAAAAACTGAATACTTGACTATTACTTGCGGTGTTTCTTATTTATGTAAACGATTTCCATAAGTTTTCAAACATTTTAAACTCAGTTTTATTTGCAGATGATACAAATTTATTTTATTCGAATGGAGATATCAACCTCTTATTTAAAATAGTAAACAAGGAATTTTTAAATCCAGCGGAATGGTTTAAGCAAACAAATTGTCCTTATATTTAAATAAAACTAAGTATACTTTTTTTCATAGATTTCACGATAAAGAAAATATTCCATTAAAACTTCCTGATCTTTACATTGGCAACTCTAAAATAGTTATATGGAGTCAAGGGGAATTGAATTTCCGAGTCAAGGGGAATTGAATTTCCGTCCAACTTAGTAAAAGTCTGACTTATCAAGGGTCCGAGTTAACGAGATTCAATTGTACCAAGCATTGAGTTTACGGAGACAAAAAATTTATCAAATATTTCAAGAATGAGAGTCATCATTAAAGTTTTTAGGAGTGATACTTGACGAAAACATCACATGGAGAGAACACATAAGAACAATTGAAAATAAAAATTCGAAAAATATTGGCATACTATACAAAGCTAAGCAAATCTTAAACCAAAACTGCTTAAAAATCTTATATTTCTCCCTCATACATTGTTAAATAAACTATGCAAATATTGCATGGTGCAGCTCTAATGTAAGTAAAGTTAAAAAATTGCTTAGTAGACAAAAACACGCTGTCAGGATTATTTCAAATGCAGGTCGATTCGCACATTCTAAAGAACTATTCAAAAATCATCACATACTCAATGTTCTTCAGTTAAACCTTTATCAAATTCTTATTTTTATGTACAAACTACATAATAAATTAACTCCTATAGTTTTTAATACATTTTTTAATAAAATTAATTAAGTGTACCCTACAAGATTTTCAAATTACAATTACGAGCAACCTAAAATACACTATTTGGCTACTAAATTTTCTATTGTCATTAGAGGTCCTAAATTATGGAACACTTTATTAAATAACCAGCTGAAAAATTGTTCTTCACTTTCTCTATTTAAACAAAAACTTCTTAACGATGTTAATGAAATTAATTCTTTTTAAGATTCTTTTATCTTCTTTTTTAACAACTATCTTATTAACTAGTCTAACCAATTTAAATTTTCTTTAATTATCCTTTCAGTTTTTAAGTGTGATTGCTTCTTTTTTTTTTGTTTTTTTTGTTTTTACAATTTTCTTTTGATTATAGATTAGTAACTGATCTTAACATATTCTTTTAAAATAACTCGATGATTTTTATTTTTTGACATTTTATATACATTTTCAAAAGATTAATTTACAATAATAAAACTCTGAAATAAATATTAAAAAAATAGAAGTCTTTACAGAGAAATAATAACGGACAAAAATTTACATTTTAAACCTACCAAGGACATTTGGTAGAAACTCAGAAATTAAAAGAATTGTTGACCAATTTACAAAATACGCATAGATGCATATACATTTTTAACAATGTTTTCCAATATTACTTGCAATACAAACGATTTACAAACGCTTTAGAATTCGAATGTAATCATAAAAACTTTGAAAATACAATAGAACCCCGTTAACTCAGACTCTGAAAGGGTATATTTATTGTCCAAATTGAGCAAAGCTCTCGAATGCCATTTAGTCGAACATTTTCAAAAAGTCGGACTTTTTGAAAATGTGCGACTAAATGGCCTTCTTTAGGGAGACACGCATCCTCACTTTTTTCGCAGACGTTTTTTTATTTTTTTAACTTCTGAATATATTGTGTTTTTTTCTTTTGACCATCCGGACAATGTTTGCTTTAGAATGCCATATTTCTTTGATATAGTTATAGACGAATCTCCTTTTTATTTGAATTGCATATAAACTTCGCTTAACTATAGTTAAGCGAAATTTTTTGCGACCTCAAAAAACAGGACGAGTTAGCGAGTCTAACTTAATCAGAGTTTGACTTGATTTTACAGAAAGTTGATAGAGCATGTTCAAGGGGAATTGAATTTCCGTCCAACTTAGTAAAAGTCTGACTTATCAAGGGTCCGAGTTAACGAGATTCAATTAAATCAAGCATTGAGTTTACGGAGACAAAAAATTTATCAAATATTTCAAGAATGTTTTTGAACCATCGGCAAGTTTTTGTATATTTTAAACTGGATTTAAAATTACAAAGCCAAAATATTTTTTTTTGGTAACAGGGCAATCTCACTATTTATTTTTTTCAGTGCAATCTCACTATTTATCAAAGTTTTAGTGCTTTTGAAAATCAGCCAGAATTAGGACGGGGCAAGAAATAGGTCAGTTTACCCAAGTAACTAAAGATATAAAAAAAGTTAATAAATGGTTTACATGCAACAAGTTATCTATAAATGTCATTAAAAAAAATTATCATTATTTCATAAATCGAATAAAGCAGAAAATATCACACACATGCCATAAATAAAACTTATTCTGTAAACCAAAATGATGAAATTTAATCATAATACAGGAAATAAAAAAATATGGAGTCATTAAATTACATAAAACCAGCAGTCAAACAATATTTATTCGACTTAAATGACTCCAACATTTTCTCCTGTTTTTGAAGATTAAATTTTAAAATAACAATCTAATTAAAAAATTTAATCCCATTCGGCACCATAATGACTACAAATAATTATATTATAATACAAATAGTTTTGGTCTATACTTATTTATCAGATAATAACGTATATGGCTTTGTTTAAAATATTTTGTTTTTGTATTTTTTTTATTTATGAGTTTTAATATTGTTAAATTTTTTTTTTATATCAAACGTGAAAACTTATTGTAAAGTTGCGAATAAAAGTGACTTGATGATAACACTGTAGTGTTCAACTTGCTCGTGTCATTATCTTAAACTTTATCTTATTATTTACAAATGTATAAATATAAATATATTTATATTTATAAGCTTATTATTAGGTTAAATATATAAAAAGTATTAAAGTAGTGACGAAATAATTTAAATAAATATATCCTTTTAAATAATTTAAATAAATATATCCTTTTTGTTAAACGTAACCAGCAATTGCTTGAGATCGCAAAATTTAATAATACTTCATTTAAAGATTCTTTTTTAACAAATTGCTAAAAAGTATTTGTTTCATTTTTTTTTTCTTATTAGGAATATAGTTTTCCCAATAATTTTCACTTGATTCTGATTTAGATGATAATATGTTATGTCGTAGTTTCGAATGATTAATCATAGAAGTGGTTGAACTTTTCCATCTATATTTGTTTTGCATTTACCACTTGTGACTTTACCAACTTCTTTTCGGTTTTGCTAAAATACTTTTATAGCAGATTATTTAAGGTTTTTACACTAAAAATACCTAAGATATATTCAGCCTTAGGGAAAGGAGATGGCATATTAAATGTCAATGAAATTACAAAAACTACATTATAAGACATTTTTAAATTATGCTTATGTATAATGTTAAAGTTTTAAAAGTACTAATATAATGGTCATTGATTGTTTGATTATAATGCTCTCTTTATTTATTTATTTATAACGCTCTCTTCGATTATTAAATTATAACAATCTCTTCGATTATTAAATTATAACGATCTCGTCAATTATTAAATTATAACGCTCTTTTCGATTATTAAATTATAAAGATCTCTTTGATTGTTTAGCATTCTTATTAGATTGACTCAGGTTTTGATGTAAAATAAAAAATGCAAAACAAATAAATAGCACAAAATGTATATATATATATATAAAAGCCTAATATTAAATTTAACCTAATATTTTAAGCCTAATATTAAACTAATTTGTTAAGTAACAAAAAAATGTTTTTCTTTCACAAGTTTTGTAAATGTCAAAAAAAAAAAAAAAAAAAAAAAAGAAAAAAAAAAAGAAGAATTAATTTAAACTTATATTTGAAAAATGTTTGCTTTTTTAGCTTTATGAAAATAACTCCTATATTTTTTTACCATCTTCTTCTAATTGTTGTATAATAAAAAATTATATATTATTTATATTATGTTTCCTAATTTTTCATAAAACACACATGCGATCTAGGTTTACCAAAACAACTAAAGTTATTTTACGATTAACCCCATCAGGTGTAGGATCTGTTGAATTACAGTGACAAAATTTTACCACAGTTTGTTGAGTTATACTATGATAAAAGCGAACGAAATGTTCCGCAGCTAATAATATCGTTTCCATTTTGGTTTATCAAGGCTCTTACAGCTGGCTTGTGTGTTGAAAATCTTTGTACTATATTCATTACAAAACTACTTCTACGTCGTCTTTTAGCTATTAGTAAACCTGAAAAGAATGCGTCATCCCATTCGGATTCTGTGAGCTGGGCGTTATGGTCGTTAGTAGGAATGTTACATTGGTCAACAAGTTTTGGACTAGATTCAATTGAGTTTGATTGTTTTATATATAAAATGTAAACAATATTTATTAAAGAAAAAAAGGACATGGCTGCTGCCAAGTAAAAAAAACAACTCTGAGCTCCACAATTTTCATACAAATAACCAGCAATGAGAACTCCAAGAGATCGACTGGCGCCTTTATAAATAGCATTTAATGAGCCAAACATTAAATTTCCAATTAGCTTGTTACTTTTTGTATACGTGTATTCAATAGTTGCTACCCAGAATAATGCCCCATTTATACCTTGAGTTAATTGCAAAGGAAGTATTAGCCATGGGTTATTTATAAAACGCATGAGTAAAAATCTTACACAATAAACAATAGAGGAAACAAAAGTAATTGAAAGTGGTCCTCCAAACAAGCAAATTATTTTTGATGACAATGGATAAAATACTAGCGAAGAGACTTGCATTAAAAGTAGGTTAATTCCCAGGAGAGTTGGCGATGCATTTAATTTTAACAAATGAATCATTCCAATACCCATATTTGCACCATATGCAAGTCCATTTGCAAATACAAATAAATAAAACGGAAAAACATCAAACCTTTTTAAAACTGATAAAAAGTTTGGATATTTAACTTTGACATGGTCGTGACGTTGCTGTAATTTTATAATTGAATATTTTTTTCTACCCGCCCAATAGACAATTTTATAAAACGACGCGAGAAACAAAAAAATAAGGATGGCATGAAAAATATATATCGGAGTATAAATTGAAATGCTGCAAAAAAACTTTTTTTCAATAACAATTCCAATTAAAACTGCAAAAAGAGCGTTTCCAATTGATCCAAATAATCTCTGTATGCCATAAGCTTTTATTGAGCTGTTTTCTACAATATAATCAACTATAAAGTTATCTACTTTCCCATGTAATCCTCCTTCAAAAAACGAACTTAGCATATTCATAACAATAAAAAATAAACTTGCTTTAACTTCGTTGTTCATTTTTAATTTATAAGATGGTATAAACGTCACGTTATGACGTGGAATTTTAAAAGAACTTGTAATAAAGGGTTGAGGTAAAGTAAAAACGGTTGCCAAAACTGTTAAGGCAACAACAATAACAGTGTATTTGCTTAAACGGTCTGCTATAAAAGCCCAAAATATACTTCCCATAAATTGAGAAATTATATACAGAGAAAATATAAGAGTTACTCTGGACGGAGAGAAGCCGATATCTTCTAAAAATACTGGAAGATAAGATACAAAAACAGTTTTTCCATTCCAAAAAAAATATGTCAGTTTTGCTGAAAGTAAATCTTTTCGAAATATACTATTAAAAATACTTTTCAGCGACATTTTAACATTTTTTGTTTTAAAGATTTTAGTCGTAGGCATTATCAATCATTTTATTCCACTATATAACCATTCAAAACAGTCTTTGAAAATTTAAAAGTGTTTTGACTTTAAAAGCGCAATTCATTTTAACCAATTAGCTTTAGAAGTTTCACAGTAAATCCGAAGCACAGAAAACTTGTGGAAGTTAAATAACGTAGCTGTAAAATAAAATTTGTTTTTTTGTAAAATATTTGGAGATAAACTTATGAGACAAACTGCATTTTCCAAGATTACTTAACAAAAAAAATATATATATATATAGAAAAATAGAAAAATGCAACAAAAAAAATGTAGAAGGCCTTCTATATTTTTTTGTTGCATTTTTTCCTAAAGGAGCAACAACTATTTTCAAAACAATACATTGATGTATATATAAAAAGCGAACTGCAAACTGGGTACACTTTCTTTCAGTGCATGTACGTCTACGTTTATACGTGCAAGTGTGCGTGGGATGGTTTTTAGTTATTTGTGCAAAAATTTAATAAGCATTTTTACTTTTAATTTTTTATTTCAAAATATTGATAAATGTAACTTTTATTTACCAACTTTACCTTTTTTAAAAAGAAAAGAAAACTTTGATGCTACTAAATATACCTTACAAAATTGAAACAAGATTTTCAAAATAATATAAACAAAATAACAAAATAATACCAACAAAATAACAACGACCAATTTATAACAATACAATGATAATAAATAGCGAACGTTGATTACCACTTCAACAAAAAATAAAATAACTGGTACTTTAAAAATCTTTAAATGTTAGAATAATATACTTTATTTTTTATTGAAGCGATAGATAATATATGAGCTGTAATATATGATAATATATGAGCTAAATAGTATTTATATTTTAAAATATATAACTCACAAAACCGCATTTTAAATGCGTATTGAAAATACTTTCGGTTTCAAAAAAGAATATTTAATGAAGTTGTTAAACATAAATGTATTACTTTACATGCCAATTACATGTCTCAAATTTTAACAATAATTATTAAATAAAAGCCTGTATCGGTTATGATATTTGTATACCATGTTGCTTGGTTACTTGTTTGAAATGTTACTATGCTGGGTTTATTACTATGATTACAAAACCTAATAGAATTTGCAAAAAAATTGCAAAAAATATTTTGTGAACAACTAGAATTAAAGGTATTATTGGAATGTGAATATAAAATAGCTATAAAGCAAAAAAAAATTATGGAACTATGTATTGTTTCTATGGTTATATCATTACGTTGTTTTCATCATTTGTTTTTTTTAATTAGTTTTTTTAAGATTTTAATAGTGGTGTAAATTTCTATTACTCTAATACTTTGCAGTAAAATCTACGCAATGAAAATTCCTTTTTTTATTAAAAGTAAACTAGAACACTAATTAAGGTTTTAAGATTTCTTAAGACCTTTAGTAATCCAAGGAGATAATAATTCTTTCGCTCTTAGATCTTTTTCACGGGAAACTAGCATCATCACTATGTAAATTGTTTTAAAAAAAGTGCTGCATATAATGTTTATATTGAAATTAAATTTTATGTAGTTCCAATCGTTTAATAAAAGGTTTAAAGAAGATTAAACTTTTGTTGTGTGTTTTATTATTTTTTTTATGCTTCTCTTGATTAGAATCCACGCATGTAGAAAAAAATATAGGAAAATGGTCGTCAGTTTTCTTAGTAATTTGTTAAAAAAGTCAAAGCTTAAGATATTGTCTATCAATGACGATTAAATGTTTGTAATTTAAGTTGGTTGGTTGATTATTGGTAACAGTACCATTTCTAATAGATTGTTGTAAAAGATTTTAATCTTTTCATTTTCAGTTAAAATCTCCTATAAGATAACTTTTTTTTTTCTAGATTAGGTTTTTTTAATATGTTCTTTTGTAAGAATTTACAAAAACTTTCGTCTCTTCCATTCTGTGACTAATAAAAATAGCTTATTAGCAGGTTTTTTAACTTCTTCTTGATCATTTCAATTTTAAAAATCGCATTATTTACATCAGAAACACTTATATTGCCTCTAAATAAATGCACAAAAATATATCTTTTTTACGAAAAAAAGCGTGGAGCCCCTCGAAAAAATAAAAAGCGTGGGGCCCCTCGCTCCACGCTTATTATTGTTTCGCTCAAAAATAACTGGATTAAAAGCAAGTAGAGGTTGAGGCAGAGGTAGAGGTATATCGTCACATTAGAATTATAGGGTTCTATCTGCCTTTTTTTATGTTGTGAGAACTTAACTTTCAATATTTATTTAATACATGTTTTACAGCTGTTATTCATTATAATTATAAATTATAAGTTGTTTATGTTATCTATATTTCTTTATTTAACATATTTTATATTAAACCACTTAAAAAATGATATATAATATATCATTTTTAAAGTGTTTTGTTTTTATTATTTATTATTATTTAAAACTTTAATTGTTAAATTCTTTCAACATAAAACAAGGCAGATAGAAACCTATAATTCTCATGCGACGATATATATATATATATATATATATATATATATATATATATATATATATATATATATATATTTATATATAAAAAGAATATAAATCGATATCTTGTTATGTTTATGTATATCTTTTTTTATATGTTTTTATTATTTATTATTATTTAAAACTTTAATTGTTAAATTCTTTCAACATAAAACAAGGCAGATAGAAACCTATAATTCTCATGCGACGATATATATATATATATATATATATATATATATATATATATATATATATATATATATATATATATATATATATATATATATATATATATATATATATATATTTATATATAAAAAGAATATAAATCGATATCTTGTTATGTTTATGTATATCTTTAAAAGTTTTTAATATATATTATAAATATATTAAAATCTTTTACAGTTATACATAAATATAACAAGATATCGATTAATATTCTTAGCTTTACATTTTAATCAAAAACTCATTTATACTAGTTAAATAAAAAAATACGAAATCTAATTTCAATATTTCAAACAAAACTTCAAGTGTGACGATTGTAATTATCGTCATTTGTAATTACCTAACTTTGATAAATATCAAAAGTACATGGTTGTGCCACCTGTGAGTCTATGCGGTTTTGCCACAGAGGACAGTTTTTATAAAGAATATAGTTTTATAGCTTGCTTATTAAGTTATGTTGAAATCAAAAATGGTTTTTACTTGATAAAATAACGCTGATAACAAATATCTTTTACATTAAAATCAAATATTGGTTAATTCTTAAATATAATATTTTTATTAAAATAAACATTATTATGTACAACTTCTAAGAAACGTAACAGGCACTTTTTTTGACATAAGCGAAATGAAGGAAACTGTTTTACCGACGCGTGGTATGTTTTTTACCATATCATATAATATTGTTCAAACAGAAATATTAAAAAACGGTTATGCCCCCACTTCCTCTATTTAAAAACCACGTAAATTGTAGACAACCTTACTTTTTGATTATAATTATTCGGTTGGCCTTTGTATTAACATAACATATAACCCCACAAGCTTTGATGCCACTATCTCTGCCAACATTAATGGTACTAATTCAGTCACTGGCTCCAAATACGGCTTAAGTAAAGAGACGTATACCTCTCAGACAGTTTAAAATAAAACCCATCTCGCAGGATACGCACAACAACCCTTACTTAATACTGTAACTAGATCCAAATACAACCACATCTACTTTTGGGCTAACAACTCTTGCTCTTTAAAAGACGACAAAGTTACTTGATGAAGATTTCATATCAAGTGAACTTGACATGAACTCAAATTTCTCATTCTAACATCTAGTGCATGATCTTTCCGCTTTCTCTGTGCTATTTTTCTATTTCAACTTTTTTTGACTTTCACTCTAAAATTCTTTTGTTCTTCCTAAAATCACTCACTCTTGGTCTGCGAGGCGGGTATTGATGCTGTTTAGTGAGCTGAACTCGTCTTTGCGGGCCATGGTAATGTGGCTTCTGTATGGCAACTAGCCGGTGGAGGATAAACCACAATACCACCCTTTCTCTTTAAATAGCGACAAATACAAAAACTAAAAACAGATGTTATCATCATAGCTGAAACGTGATTCAATGAAACATCTGAGACTTCAATTGATGGATACCATTTGCACAGAAAAAACAGAAGCAGCCAAGGAGGGGTGAGGCGATGTATATTAAATCTATTATTCCTGCTCTATTAACTAGTATAAAAAAACTAAACGACTTTAGAATTAAGCAACTTTGGCAAAGTATCAAGTTGGTTAATAAAAAAGCCCTTCTTAGGATGTATCTATCGACCTCAAGATAATAACGACGATACCTTCATGAAAATAATTTCTTCAATTAAAGCCGCAAAATAAAATCTATCGAAACTAGTCTTCGCATCCTAACATTTTTTACGATGACTTTAACTTTAGCCAAAAAATCTTGCACCAAATACGTAAATATCCCATCGGCAAATTCATTTCAAGAAAGAATTGACTTGGTTTTGCTTGCTGCCTTGTTTTTAAACAAAGCAGCAAGCAGAACCAAGCTAATTATAGACCAGTCTCACTAACATCGGTACCTTTTTTTCATCGGTACCAAAATTATAGAAAGCATTATAGACAAAAAATTATAAGCCACTGTCTTAGCATGAACCTTATATCCAAAGAACAAGACGAATTTCTTTAGAGTAAAGGACACACATCAAGCTTACTTACAATTCGGGATATACTATCAGAACTAATGCACCAAGGCTACGCCACTATTGTCATCTTCACTGACCTTGTGAAAACATATGATAAAGTTTCATACGTCAGACTTTTAAACAAACATAAAGTCTATGGAATAAACGGGTTGGTCTTGGACGAGATAGCAAACTGGCTAACGAATTATTATCAACGAATTGTAATTGACAAGCATTAGTAAAAATAGAAATATGTAACGAGTGGGGTACTTCAGGGCTCTGTGCTTGGTCCACTTCTTTTTATCTTATATATAAACGATCTGCCGGACTATATTACTCATCACATTAAGATTTATGCCGACAATTTCAAAATACTTGCAGTTCTAAAATCTGAGTAGAACAAAAGAACCTTGCATTGCATTGCATCATTGCATAATGATTTAGATAACTTTGTAGATTGGTCGCATAAATGGAATATACCTCTCAACTTCTATAAGTGTAAAGTTATGCACGACCGGCGTGGTAACTCCTAATCTATTCAAAATTATTCAATACTTGACTTGAGGGAAA